CCCCGGTGGTCGCGGGGAATGCACAGGAAGTGGGCACCGGTCCCCTGCCACCCGGGGGGGGGGGGGGGGTGTATTCGGACATGGCCGGCCGTTTACTTTTCGACTTGGCGCTCAGCTCGGCGGAGGGGTGCCAAAGGAGTGTACGATCCCATTCTGTCATTTCCTTCTTCCGCACAGTCCCATCGGTCGTTTGACTCCCTCTTCGCGCGATTCACTCATTTTTGGCCTCATCGTATATTAATGTTCCGCTGCTGGACCAATTACAGTCAATCTGGGCTTGTTTCTCAGGGCCGCTGGGTGGGGAACACGTTAGCTTGTAACGTGTAACTTTAACAGCAAGAGACAATCGCCGATGAACGCTGAACCTTCGGATGAATATCTCTCTGATTTTTTTTGGCAAGTTGTTGCGTTGTTGCCCTCGCTCGACGGTGGTCGGTTCAAAAACAAAGAAACCTTCATGTATGCACTTGTAGATGCTTCGTACGGAAACGACCAAGACTTAATTTATCCAGCCCTGCGGGACTGTCATCTCGCGTCTCTCGCGGGAGGCTAGATTCTCCATAATGTACGTCGCCATTTTTTCGACGGTTCCGAAGGAAGGCCCCCTAGACTTTTGGTGTGTAATTTTCAAAAATTCAAAAAATTGCAAATTGGTTCGTTGTGGCGGAATCTCACCGCCCAAACACCATCGCAGAGGAGGTTTGCCTCACGCCTCATGCATGGACGACAGTAGCTGGAAAGCAGCTTGCCCAGCATGCAGCACACGGGTTGAAACACGACACACACATGGCACCAGCCATCATGGCGATCGGACACGACTAGGCGTTTGATTTGATATGCACAACGGGAGGGGGGAGCGATGAATCCTGTCGACACCAGACAGAACCCGACCCTTGAGAGCTTGAGAGGGCCGCGAGCAAAATGTGAAACTTGAACTTGTCAGTCGACTGCTATAACGTGCTTATGCCAACGCCTTTTGCTGTACGCTCTACGCCTGTGGCCAGTAGTAAGCGGCATGGTGCTGAAGCGCAACTAGCGAGAAGCGAGCCACGTGTCCTTCTTTTTCGTGAATGGGAAACGGGGAGTTGGTGCCTGTCATCATGCGGGAAACATGTTGGTTGATGAGGTATTCAGCATGTGTAATGTAAGCGACCAGACCTCTCTCACTCTCTGTCTCTCTTCGGCTACTGCTGTACGTTAGACACTCACCTCCTGCGTCTCAGGCGAGAGTTTAATCTCGCTGCTTCGCCTTGTTGGTGCCATGCTCCCGGGCTGAGGCGAGCAAATGATCACCTCATAGCTCAACAGCAGTCACCTGTCACCCAGGAACCGGCTATTCGCAGGGGCTCCGGGAAAAGCTAGAATACGATAGGTGCCTACCCCCTCCGGCACTGATTCATAGACGGTTCAGTTTTGTTCTTCTTCTCCAGGACCACGTCAATACTACTGCTGTTGCTGCTGTAGCTACGTATGTGTAGCTACGTATGTTTAGCTAGGGTATGTGTAGCTAGCTATGTATGTATGCATACGGGTGATGAGGACGCCCCCGCTTTCAGGGTTCGGCTGGAAATGACTACCTCCATCGTACCTTGGCTTTTAGTCCGAACTGCGAGCGGTGCGTGCGTGTGTTCCCTCTCTTCATTGATTGAGCCATCATCATAAATCTCATCACCACCGAGAACCAAGCGCTCCGGGCGCTACAAAATAGATTGTAGTATTTCTGTCACGTGATAAGAGGTGTACGAATTGAATGAAGCCGAAGTCCACGGCCGGTGCGCAAGGAAGTATGACCCAAAAATATTGACTGTACGTTGAATGTCCCATCATTGCATATCATTTTGTTTGGTGTCCGACATTTTTCACGGCGCCGTCCACGGGCCATTCACACTCAGCATTAGCATCATCATCATCAGCAGCAAGTAGCAGCGTTTGCGCCTGTAGGACAGGTCACATCCATTCGCCAAGAAACACACTCTACAAGTAGTACATGTTATGGCTCACTCGTAGGCACAATTAACATGGCCACCCACAAAAACAGCCAAAAGAGGGCACCGGCCGCTTCCTTCAAGTAGCACGGATAAATAGTCGTCCAAGGCGTCCAAACAAGACGACGTCGGGCCGACGAGAATGAATGGACAGACCGCCGGGGGACAACCGGCTTCAATCAGTGAAAATAAGTTGTTTTGAAGCAAGGTAAGATCGTTAAGTCAGGAACAAATGCGAAGAGAAACAAAAAAAGATGAAAAACACACACACACACACACACAACACAATAATACTACCCCTAAAGGGAGGATATCCTCAACTCCTAAAATTTGACGGCAAGTTACAAATTAAAGCTGCGATGCTACTACTGTCTACTGTACTGCATCACACGGGGCCATACAGTAGCGCACCCGCACGCAAACCGCACACACAACGAGTCATTAAGCACACCAGTCTTCGGAAAGCAGCACATCCACTGCTAGCCGTACGATAAAATGCCACATGAAAAGCTGCAACAATTTGCACCGAACAACACCTCACCATCCATGAGACATTGACACCCAACGAAACGACCCCCCCCACGATACCCTTTAAATGACAAAAATACGCTCGTCAAAATGAATGGGACGTCCTGTCCACACCCGTGTGCCCTCCAGCCGGCAAGCGCATTTTCGCCGCCCCTAATCACTGCCATACACGCATCATATGATAAAAAAAAAAGCCAAGACTTGAGCCTGTCACTAGCAGACAGGAGTAGGACCTGCAGGCCCCGACGGCAGTAAATCGTAGCCAGCGTAGATTCTAGTCGGCTTGGACAAGGCCGAAACCAGCGACAAGAAGACCGCTTGTTGTCTCAGGGGGCTCCACCGCCGCCCAAAGTCTCCTCCAGAGTGGTCTGGTTGTGGTCCCCCTTTCGAGGGGGCTGCATCTTGATTATCTTGCACGCGTCGCTCGCGGTCACCGACGACAGGTCCTGCAAAAAAAAACACCCAACCAAGCACAAAAAGACAAAAAACAACACAAGAAACTCAAAATCCGGCGGTAGGAACCATAGAGTGTTGCGGATGGATCTAGGCATGCGAGGAAGGAAAAAAAAACTGGTGCTTCACCGTGATCGCCAAAGTCGAACAAAAAAAAAAAAAAGCCTACAGTACTCTTAATCCAAACGCCCTTTCAATGGTGGTCGGGTACAGTTTCCATGGACAACGACAAACGTTGTCAGATGGTGTCGCTACATGTATGCTACACATGGTCAAAGCCACACCAGGCACATACATGTCTTCACATGAAGCATGGTTCGGACACGCCGGATATTTCCATTGAATACCGAGCTCTGAGAGTTCAGTGTCCACACCGAAGAGGCATCAATTCCGCCGCCTTCACAACGTCCATCACATACCTGCGGCGTGATGAGGATGAACTGCCTCGAGCTGTCCCTCTTGGCGAACTCGATGACCTGCTTGATGGCGATGTTGCGGCTCATGGCGTCCATGAACACGTCGAACTCGTCCATCACCCTGACGTGACCGGTAAAAGAAAGAAGGGAATACGCAGGGGAATCCCGAGTTAGCTTCGCTTCATTCCCATGAATGTATTGTAAACCGAACACGGGAAGAAAGCCGTCAGAAACTGGAACACGTGCCTTGTATCTTGTCGCCCAAGAGAACGGAGACATTCTAGCGGGACCACGGGAAGGGACGAAACGAAATGATAACAACAACGCCAACACACAAAATCACCGCTTGGTGATCAAACAAACCGTGGGGCGTTAACTGGAAGGGGTGCGCCTGACTACGCTTCCGGAAAGAGCAACAAAATCACCGCTATACCGACCACACAACCGTAGAAAGACTACCCAAAGGGACACTCCTGCCTGATTAGTTCCGGGTAGAAGAACAAAATCCCCGCTCGCCGGCCAACATAAACCGGGGAAAGACCTCACCGGAAGGGACACTCACGGAACCTCTGTTCCGGAAAGAGAAATAAAATCTCCGCTTGTCGGCCAAAATAAACCGTGGAATGAACTGCAGTAACAGGAAGGGGCACACGCTGCCGCTCTCTCCCGAAAAGAGCAAATCACCGCTTACCGGTCAAATCAACCATGGAAGAACTAACCGCTAGGCATACCGTACATGGCTGCTTTGTCTCTGAAAGCGATCCGTGGAACGACTCTCACCGGAAGGGGCACTCGTGGCTCTGTCCTAGGGCGAGAAGGAGGGCTAGCGTAGCGAAGGACCGCTCTCCTCCAGAGAGAAGCTTCACGTCGCTGCACTGGCTGGCGTTGTCGCTGCTGTCCTTTTGGTACGTGAGCCCCAGCGTCTGGCACTCGTTGTCGAAGCGTACCTCCCTGCAATCATCGGACGCGGTTCACGGGCGCCATATACGCGTTATTGAGGCAAGCGAAAGAGGACCTCCCAGCAATCATCGGCAGTAGATTTCAGTGTACAGTACTGTATCTGTACAAAACGTGTGGGAAGCAGGAGTGCTCGCCTACTGTTATGCTTCTGCCCAAGCATTTCGACTCGCATCTCAGCCACTCTCTGTCTGGGCGCCTCGAGTTCGCATCCGCTGACTATTTTCAAGGTCCACAAACCAAACACCAAAGAACACCCCATCGCACCCACTTGCACTCTAAGGCCGAATCCTTCTCCAATCTAGCCCTTACCTCTTGTACTCGAGGGCCTCAGCCCTAACCAGGCGGTAATGGCCTTCTCAAGGCCTAAATCACACCCAAATCACGGAGGCACACGACGACTGGAAACTCCGATCAACCTCACGGTGAAACCGCTCCGCAAACCCACCCATTCCACGCAAACCTTAACACCACGACAAGCTTCGGGGTTTTACAGCAGTGTAGGGATGCATCTAACAAAAAAAAGTTTTTCCAAGGGATTGCTCGGCCTATCCCCGAGCAATGACCGTTCTTTTGGACTGTCTCAGCAAACCTTCACACTGCGGGCTTTTTTCTGGTGTTACTGGTGTTACTTTCCGTCGAAGGAAATGTCGTTACCGCTTCTTCTGCATTCCCGCCCAAAAAACGCGTTCTCCGATCAACCCTCCCCCCCCCAAATTGATTGTGGTTCATCATCTCACCCGGAGGCCCCCTTCTCTTGAAGGTACGCGTCGAACAGACGGCTGGTCTGACGTGCCACGAAGTCTCGCATTTGCCTCCACCTATGATAGAGGAAAGGAACAACGGACAAGAAAAAAAACAAGAAGAAAAAGGAGGAAGAAAAACATAGACAAAGGGACAAGCACGAGGAGAGGATCAAAGGAAGATACGCAACTTCCAGCACGACACCAATACCGACGAAAACAAAAGAAACGAGGGCCGGCGGCAGGACACCTACTGCACAAGGAGAGGATGGGAATGCGAGGGAATAATACTCTTCTTTTGTTCCGCGAGGTTTGAGGAGCGACGTTTTTCGCGCCGAAAGACTTCACAAATCCGTTCGACTGGGGGGTACGCATACGGTACTATCTCGAGGGGGTAGTCTCCTATGTACAGTGTGAACCCGCGTATAGTGTACGCGGTGTTGCTTTGGACGTAGGGCACTCACTACGCGGGCGTCAACAAAAAGCAGAATGAATATCGTAGAGCAAAATTCGAGCGTCATGGGCCGAATCTAGCCTACTTTTTTGCGGATAATTGTCTCAAAAAAACCCTTCATGACGGGAAAGGCCCGGTTTGTATATGACCCAAAGTGCAAACACACGGGTGGAGACAAGCGAGTACAAGGGCGGCCGGTGCATCGTACACGTTGAAAGGTCTTCGCCGAGGAGCCGGTGTTGCAGCACCAACGCCACCGCAAGAGAGGTAAATCCAAACAACAGGAAATGAGTCACCTTACCTCCGTGTTCGTTGGTTCCTTTCGTTCGAGAGCATCTCCATGTTGCCCTCCAGCGTGTCCGCCAGCTTTTCCTTCTCCTTGAACAGGTTGTAAGCTTGAAGCAGCTGGCTCTCCACCTGAAGAGCGAGATAACGACATGTCACACAAATGTTAAGAAAATCATGAAACACCCGAGAAATGCACGACGTAGCAATGCTTGAAAAGTGTAGCATATTGTACACGTTTGGAAACGTGCACAATTCCTTGATGCCTTTCTTGCGATTCGATCGAACAGACTACCAGTACATAGTCTGACTCGATTAATATCTGAACAAGAAAAAGACAGCATCAGCGATGACGGACAATCCAAAAAACTCGTGTTGACTCCACGGCCTCCGGTGCAACATGCAAAACCGATCGATGCACACAGCAACATTGGAAGCCGCTGGCCATGGCGCGCATTAAAGCTACAACACGCTCTCCATTACTGTTGTACGCATTTATCAACACACCCAATGTCGACAACACCTTCACCAAACGAGTCAAACATCGCACCAGTACCCAAGCATAAAAAGGAAACCGATGGCCCTGGCACTCTTTTTCCGATCTACACCAGTATGCATTGCACGGAAACCTAGTATAATAAGATTTCCGGAATAGAGCCAGTCTAAAAAAAAAAGGTGCAGCGATAGACTGCCTAGAATACCACTTAGAAGAATAGAGAAAGCCGGGAAATTTCCCACCTCCTCCTTGGTCTTGCTCCTCTTGCACCGCTTCTCGCGCTCCTTTTCATACCGTTTCCTGCTAACTTGCACCTGAAAACCAACAAGGTGTACCGGGTGGGATTCAGACGGGGAAAGCAATCACGCAGAACAAACACCAAAAATTCACACACGAATTCGACATACTCGCAGTTAAGTGTAGCAGCATGTGGAATGAAGTAGGACACGGACCTATTGCGGCAGGCAGTCTACAAGGGCGTACATGTTTGGTTGACGACAAGTGTCGGTTCACGTGTAACGTGCAGGAGAGAGAAATGTGGCGTGACTTCGACGATGCCGCATGGCAGCCTCTTTGCTTTCAGGTCAGTCCTGAAAAATTCAAGAGCTGTGTGGTGTATTGACCAACGCTCCTATCTACATTACCGAGGGTGGGAAACCAATTAACATGAGGTCTGGCTCCTCAGAGAAGGAACGAACCAACCCCCCGATTGGACGAGGGTGGCAAGCAGCAGCAGCAGCAGCAACAGCAACAACGACGACGTTGACGACAACAACATATTCCAGCGGCAGCAACGGCAACAACAACAAGACACCAGCTGCAGCAGAAGCAGTAACAACAACATCAACAAGAAGACACCTTGTGCTCGAGCTGCTCCACTGTCAGACCCCTGGACTCCACCCTCACGCCGTCCCATTCCAATCCATCCTTTGCCCGCATGTTGGTCATGTACAGGTTGGCCTTCTCGAGGGTCTTCTCAAGGTCGGCTTGATTCTTGTCCTTGTCCCGGGACAGCGTTTGCACGTCTGCCGAAATCTGATTTTACAGTCAGGCAGTACGACCACCATCACAAACAGCCATCAAAATGATTGTGATTGCGTGAACATCAGGGGGGCACTTATCTTTTGCACATGCATACCTCAACGGTTAGACCATTGACCGCGCGTCCTCGAGAGGTGAGCATTGGCGTTAGGCCTCCCTCTCGAAAGCGTCACGTCAAGAGTAGAAACAATGTCCGACATCTATCGACACACAAAACCCATATAGGTAAGCATCACCTTTGCGACCCATCCTTGCACCCTGTTGATCTTGTTCCTGAGATTGTTAACCACCTGCTCACTGTCTTCAAACTCCTCTTGGACAGTGCTCGCGGCGTCTCCGGCTTCCTGTTGCCAGAAACGTCGGTCAGACAGGTATCAGCGAAGATGAGATGAGATCAGACACGATTAATGAATCAGACAGGATGATATGAAACAATGAGTTGAAGTGAAAAAGTGCCCACGTCCGGCGTGAATCCGTGCAGAATCAACACTTGTCTCACCAAGGCGTTGCGTTGAAAACACGTGGTACTGCTGTGTGGGCATGCGGTGAAAACACTGTATGGGTGCAGTATGCGAAGAGACACGATACCTACCTTGTGAGCCTTCTTCGCAGCTTCCTTGGCCTGCTTGAAGGGCTCCACCTGTGCAGCAATCTCTCGTATCTGGCCCTCCATGGTCGCTAGTTCCGCCAACACGCCGTCGAGCTCCTGAATTCACACATCATCATCATCATCATCATCATCAACAACAACAAGGCAAGTGTGTGTTGGTCAACCTTCATGAACGACTACATTTGTGTTCATGGGGGGCAAGACAGACCGACGACCGACCGCGACAAACGTATGAGGGGGAAAAATTACGAAGTAGTAGATTAGTGCAAGTCTTAATTATTCGGAATCGGCAAGACACATGTATGCATACGAAGGTAGAGCACCGTGTCCACATCGACACAAGCCACAAAGGGGGTCCAAGTCTCAAATCACAAAACACAACAAAACACAGCAATGGGCCCTCAGTACAGTGCCGATGCAATAGCGCCACTGACCGGTACAATATAGAGCCGGTATTTTCCGCGGACACAGATGGAAATAACCGAGTCATTCTGCCGTACGGCCGCCTTACTCGGGGACCCCCACTGTGTTGTACCACGATTCGATTCGATTCGATTCGATTTGTCTCTCACCTCAGTGGCTACTTCGAGATCTCTCTCCAGTTCCTCAGTGGGGTCACTCGAGTCGTTCTTCTTGGCCTGCAGTGCCATCAGCTGATTGGCCAGCTTGGTCCTCTCGATCGAGAATTTCTTGGATTGGTCGTCCAACCGGAACCTCTCCTGTTCCTCCTGCTCACAAAAAAAAAAAAGGACCGATGCAAGGGCCCGTTGCGCGCAGATTCCTCATCATTACCGGCAAGAGGGCACCATGGTAACGCATACCATTCCATGGGACTGCTGCTATATTTATCCGCCATCCATTGCTTAGCCGCATACCCAATCCTCTCTGCCCGAACATGTTGAGACAAAAAACGGCAAGCAACAACCTCAACAGTAACATCAACATCAACATCAACAACATAAACAACGCAAGCAAACCGTTGATCTTCAATCTGTTGCGCGCAGATTCCTCATCATTGCCGGCAAGACAGTCCCATGGAAATGCACTACCATTGCATGGGACAGCTGCGATATCCCCCATTCGGTGGAACTGCTATATCCCCCATTCGGTGGAACTGCTTGTCTCGCCGAACGCCCGAACCGTCTCTCCCCCAACCTCTTCAGACAAAACGAGGCAAAGAACTTAAAAAACTAACATCAACAACAACAACGCAAACATTTCAACGCACCGTGCGCATGGCAGTCTCCGCAGCCTTGGCAGTCCTAGCCTCTGCGTCGGCAATGGCCCTGAGCTGCTCCACTACTGCGTTGGTCTGCTGAATCTGTGCCCGTATCTCCTGCTTCTGGGTGCCCTCGTCTACACCCAACACGCTCCTGGAGACAGAGACAAAAACAAAAGCGGATCAAAACAACACGTCGCGTCGCACTGCATACCATCGAGTGTCGCGGGCGCACATATCAGCATCAACGTGGTATTGTGCGAATACAGAATACTACCGTATGTTAACGCCTGATCTTTCATGTTGACAGTAGGATTCATGCTACCGCTCAGCGCGCAGCAGGGTACGCCGTGCCAAGGGGTCGAAGCTTGCTTCACTTTACATTTTTTCTTCCAAAAACACAACAAATACATCTGTTTCACAAAGTCCGTGGTAGATCAGCAATGAATTAATAGTAACGTCTACGTTGACCAACATAAATTCCTACGGTTCCGCTTCTCGAAGGTCAAGAAGGCAAGGCTATGCGTATGTCCTATGAAACCGTCATTCTTTCTAGGAACAATTTCCCGACAACATTGCCCTTAATAATACTTGTAGTCACGTCTGATGCCGGCCGTTTTCATGTTTGTATTCCCGCACATGCAGGATGCCATGTCTTGCCGATGTGCCACTCACTTATGCCGCCTGGTGTCGACGATGTTCATGCGGGTCTGCACGTTTCCGTCGGACACGTTGAACTTCGAGCAGCTCTTGCCACCCTGGCTGGGGTAGTACGCCTCGAACATGCCGTGCGGCATGCGCTAAGAAACAAAGGCAAGACAACGCACGCGTGGTTAGCGTGGTCCGTGAGCAGCACATCCAGCACAAGGTTTGGCAGGCAGTCAGGAGTTGACGCAGCAGGCGCCGCCCCCTGCGCCTGCATTTTTGCCTTCTGATTTGGAGGAGGGTATTGGCAACATCACAACACAGCAACACATGGAAAGAACTCACAACAGCGTGCCACAGCTATGCTGCAGCAGTAGCACCGCGTACACGCGTCGGCAGACAAGCTTTCGCCCGAGCGCGACTTTACTCCAAGCCATACGCTACAGTACCCCGCAAATATAATGACGAAGTACGCGTAGCACGCGGCATTTGTGCTCATGTACTTGCGTGCCGTGAAAATTCCAAGACATTTCCTCCGCCACACACATGGTTCGTGCGGAAAACTCCACCCTGATACATGCATCTCGATTTAATACTTTCTGCTACTGTGATTCTTCGGTCAAGAGTCACAACAGGAGATTACAACACAATACATTGATTTGCGTATAAGGCCATGACGTCCGCATACAACTGGCTTGGTGTCCACGGGGGACCCCGAAGTTGTGCGTATGCATGGTCGGTCCCAACGACAGCAAAACAAAAGCAACAACAGCCACTACACAGCAGTGAAGTGACAACAGCAGTGTCGAGAAGCACGATTCACCTGGTAGCTGCCGGACCGTCCCCTCAGGCATGCCTTCTCCGCCTCTTCCTTGGTCGCGAACAGGCAGTTCTTCTCGATGGAGCACTGGTCCACCAGGGAGTTGAACGCCTGCGGCAGGCCATGCGCGGTGCCAACGAAAGTGTCATCGAAACAACTCACCATCAACGTCATCAGTCAAAGGCAGCCTTGTCAACCAGCTACGGTAGAAAGACCAAACCCACTGCTGTCATCGTCACGCCCGTCATTCGTACGTACGTCTGGAGAAAAAAAATAAGCTATCATACTTCTACTCTATTATACAAGAATCTACTTTAACACCGGGTACTGCACTGTACTCGCATGTCCTTCTTGGGTGGCTCAAATGTCACCACGGCAATCGTCCGCGTCAGTTGGACAGCAATCATGGATCATGGATGGTACAAGGCGCTGAGCAGAGACCGGAACGGTCGGTTTCTATTGTTACGCAGAGACGAAACGACTGACTTTTCATCAGCACCATATAGCAGCAGCAGCAGCAACTCGCCCGAGACACCGCTCGGCTTTGAATGGGTGACAAACATAGAAACTGGCGAAGGCCACTGCCCGCATGCATGGCCTGCACCATCTCGAGGAAACCCTCCCGACTCCGGGTGCCCCCACATCCGACACCAACATTTACATTGTCTATAACATGATACAACAGGCTGAAAACAATGCTCACAATCAACAAAAACGCAAAACACAACCAACCATTTACCTATGGGCTAATAAATATGTTGGAATACAACCATATTTAGTTCAATTTACTGCCATGCCATTTTCAAAGCCAACCATCTCAGCGCCCACGTCACACCTGGCCCTCGGTTGCGTGTTGTGCACATTTTACACGTACAGGAAGAAGCATGAGCACGACACCATGGTACAGTCATGAAGATTATTCCAAGGCCAAATATACAGCAGAGGTCCCTGTTTAAGGCCGCTACTACTGTATGGTCAGAGGGAATAAATACACTGTTTGAGGCCGTATGTCGGGCATCCGGCACTATTCAGAGCATGGGACAACTTGAACATTCCACCTGTGTGCTGAGCGAATTCACCAGCCTTCAACAGGGCAACTCGCCTTCAATCTTAAATGGGACCTCTACTGCTCTACTGCTCTACTGCTCTATTGCTGTGTTTTACCGCACACCTGGTCGTTGTTGACGTTGATGGCCTGCATGATCTGGAGGTACCCCGGCGGGTTCTGGGGCGGCCTGTACCTGGCCTGCGGCGCTTGCACGATGATGGTGGGAAGGGGGAAGTTCTTGTCGCTGCCCCTGTAGCTCCCTCTGTATGACCTCACTACGGCCATCAGCCTCGTCTTGTCCCTGGTGGGTAAGGGTGGGCCGCGGGTAATGGCGAGGGAGAAGGAGAAGGAGAAGGAGATATAGACAGGATGAGGACACGACAAGAGCAACATGTCGAAATGCTCTCATAGGTACATCTCGTCAAACACGCGAGTACAAGCTTGTGTATACTTGCCGGCTAGAAGGCGGTTTCAACGCGAAATGCTGACAAAATGGTCAAGCCGACCTCAACCTTGTCGGGGGTTGTGGCGAGAAGTGAGACATACACGTGTACTCTAGTGTCCACGTGGAATCACTCAAAGAGACGTTGTTGACAAGGAAGGTCGGTGAAAAAGGAGGTCGTCAGACACAACGTCGCTGTACACGTAGGTTTTTGGCAATGGAAGAGAAGGGTGCTACGCATACTACTGTACCTCTCTTGCTTGGGGAATACCATCGTAGTGGTTGACGTCACTTGGTATGGTACACAACGCGTCACCGCGGTAGAAAACATCCTGCTGCACTCTCCACGTCATCCACCGCTAATGATTGAAAATCACGCAAGCTGCTGTTATTGCCATTTTCGGTGCTGCTGCCGCTTCCGCATGAAAACAGAAATGAGGCTACTACATCAGTTCCCACGTTCGTGCCACTAAATAGAAAACACGGCCTCCGCGGATTCTACGACTTCCTAGACATCGAGGGTGAGCATAAGGCAAACGACTTTACTCGACTACGGTGGACTCACTGCTGGCACGATACCACAAAGTTGTTGAGGTTCCTCGAGAGGTGGCCCTCGATGCACGCGCGGAACTCCTGGCATTCCTCCTTCAGCTGGATAGACGCTCCGATTGGCCCGACGGGAGGGCTCGAGAACTGACAGTCCCGTCGTGTCGTGTAGTGGGGTCCAATCAAACAACAGAGGCAAAAGCAAATCACATCAGTCAACAACGCCAACACTACGGATCACTCTGTTGCGCAAAAATCTCGAGGCGAGCGCTGGTAGACAGCCGCTACAAACAACGCCAACGCCCCCAGAAACAAGAATCAGCGAGCATGTTGATAGACCAATCCTATCTACCCGACCAAACAGCACACAGACACACACAGCCCGCCATTCACGATGCAGCTCGGTTCAAACCACCCATCGGCGGCTGCCGGAGTGCAAACACGGATGCACAGACCCAAACTTTCTAATGCCACAATCGAGAGGGGTCAGCTGAACATGGTTCCAACCATGGCTTCGATGTTCACGATCGGATCTTTGCGTTGGGTGGGAAGGTAAATAACTCTGTTGACATGTCGACCTTCTGCGGCTCAGGTGAGCCAGCCCATCGGTCGGTGTCTGAGATCTGGGGCGTTTCTGAATTTTTCAATTTTCGCAATTTGGTTCTCGTCATGCAGGGCAAGGTTTTCGTTGCGCTTTGGTGGCGGCGATGAAATTTCAAGTGGCTCCAAACAACACTTGGAATTCAGTGTTCAGGTGTAGCACATTAAAACCTACTAGCAGGAATATTGTATTGCTGAATAAGCACGGACGGCATAAATAGATCTTACTTGTCTGGCCTCCTGGCTGATCTTGCGGACGAGCCCTGGCATGAAGGGTGCCATAGCGCGGAGGGGGTCGAACTTCTCCGTCTCCAGGCTGCGGAGTTCTTGTTTCAGTGCCACCAGCTCCTATTGGCCAACAGAAGAAGGAAAGCAGTCGACGAAGGAAAAGAAGACAGCAGCAAGTCGATTTATTGTTAATCGACAACCACAGCGGCGCTTTACGCTGATGATACCACGAGCAATCTGACGGCAAGAGCTGTGGCAAAGACAAGCAAGGCTTCCTTCCACAACAACGGAGGGGAGGGGGCAAACATCCTCTCTTGTCTTACAGCTGCGCCCTACCACACACTTTTCGGCGTGTCACCAGGCTTGCGCGTATTTCATCACGACGTATCGCGCACATATGGATGGTGCAGACACAATAATAGGGCAGCTGAAAGATTAACATGTCTATATACGGGGAGCACTAAAAAAAAGTGCAATAAGTAACTTGAGTGTATCCTGTTGATGTTATTTCGTCAACACAACACATTAAATACATCTCTGTCCATCACTACAGTAATTGGCAATTAATTCATAGCGTTAGTGGAGCACATACAGTGATATCGCCCCTGTGGTTCACAGACTTCGGGGTGTATTTCAACGTTATATTGTTGATCCATGCAATAATTGGGGAGGACGTGTAGCAAGGTACACAACACACAGCAGCAACAACAGCAACATCGACATAATCACACACATGGCTGGAGTTATCGTAGTCCTGCCTAGCCTTGCCCGCCGCGTCTTGGGCCCTGTGCACCGCCTGGCCGAGCTGGAACATCTTCTCCTCCCCGCCTCTCTGCTCCAGCATACTCGCCACAACCGACAGCGAGTCTTCCGTCTGAACCGTTCGTCACGAATTCGTCAACCAGCAGCAGCAGCAGCAGAGGCAGCAGCAGGCAACAGCAGCAGCAACAGTAACAGCAACAGTAACAACAGCGGCAGCACGCAGGCACCATAGCGACAAGGCGAGGGGCGGTGTGGGATTTCAGTACAGCAGACCCTTGGGCGCAGCACCTTGCGAAATTCGACGTGCGTCACCCACCACATTCTCTATCGACACGCGGAACATTTGGGGGGCAGGGTGCAACGTGGATTACAGACCCCCGCGGTCAGGTGAGGTGCAGCGAAACTTCTGTTGTACCCTTCTCGTTGGTCCTTGGCAACAGACGACAACAGCCGAGCCTTAACAAAACACTCACCAACCCTAGTTAGCGAACCAAAAGGCGACCGTAGTACCGGGCAACATTCGTATATGGTACGGTAGGGTTCATGGCAAGGCAGTATTTCTGCACCACGAAAACCTCTGGCGTACAGCATCTCGTGGCTGAGATCCACGGTATATTCTTCATCCATGGTAAAGCACTAACTTTTCGACGGGACGGTGCCGTTTCATACCGGAATGTCCCCTTCACGGGGTCCCAGACCATCACATAGAAGCATTTACAAGTATTTCTGTGTTCAACCGCACTGAGACTGACGACAGCGCGGTCGGTGCTACAAACAAAAAGGACACACTATAAGACACCTGTTGTATTTGGCCGAGGAGAGTCTTCTCCCTCTGGTCAGATGCGCTCCTCTTCGCGGCCTCTCTCGCTGCCTTGACCTTCCTAGCGGCCAGAGATTTCGCCGCTGCAACAGCACGCACGCAAATGAGGTAAGGTACACGTATTTTCATTGGCCAGTCCATTATAAAAGCGCGGTCTGCATGCCAACAGTAAATATTAACACTGGCGACCACACAAACATCAACCAACGTACGTTCATTGTCCATTGGTCAGTCGGATAGCGCGGTCCAAATGCAAACAAAGAGATAACATAACACTACAGTACGTCAATGATGCGAGACTGACTCTTGTAGACACGTGCCAACAAACCTTGAAAGGTAAAGGTTTTACAAAGAATTAGAATTTCACATTCATCTCTCGAACGTAACAAGCATGTACGCATGCCAGACCTTCATCTACAGGGTTTCCCCAAAGCTCCCAACCCCAACAACATTCATGTGTCTCCGACATGCCCCTCCTCTCTCCTACACCAATTTCACTCTGTACATCTCCGAAATTTATCTTTCACACATCTCAAAATCTCCCATATCTACCAAAAGTTCACCAATCTTGTCCCTCACACATCTCCGAAATCTACCAACAGGGGTCCCTGTCTTTTCGTTCGCGCATTCTCGAAATCTCCCAACAGCTCACCGGTCTTGTCCCTCTTCTCCCCCTCGAGAGTGCTTCGTTGGGTGCGCAGCTGCAGCAGTGGAGCCTGTGCATCGACGAGCTGCTTGCCTGCTTCCAGTGCGACCTTCTTGAGACGCGTGATCTCGTCCTGTTCCGTCATCAGCACACGTGTAAGCATTGTAACAGCCGATATAGATGTGGTCCCCGCTTGGCGGCTCCAAACTTAGCGGGATGCCTTGAATAGGTAGCGAGTCCAACATCTCGTGGCACGGGTGCACCGCGGTAGCCAAACTACAAATACAACAACACTGCCAATTCCCGCTAAGCGGCCATGCCTTCAACAGCGGTTATACTCTATTTTGTGACACTATGGACCGGTAAACCAGGACCACGACTGTAATTCCACTCTTAAAAAAATGTACGCACAAAGAGGGAGAGACTACCCGTTTGCGATATAACCACAGCAGCCGAAGAGGATGCCATTTGCTCAAGCTAAACCGCGGGTACTGTATGCACATGTGCGTGTTGTAGGCTGTGCTCTTCGTCTCATTGTCGGTGCTATGATCACGATAAAGATGGTCGTCGGTGCCATGGCCGCGACAGGCGATGTCATCGCCACCTTAGCATACTATTAAGGCATTAAGGCATTAAGGCGTGTGGTTCTCTTGCTCCCACCTCCACCGTCATCGCCTTCCTTGCACGAGTGCCATCTCGCACTGCTGTGAACGCGATTCGGATGGCAACGCGATAACCTTGGTACTACGCCGCGAACAAATCACAAATCGAAATCATTTCGTGACTAATTCAGCAAGCTCTACAACGCGGATGTGCGACGCTTTGAACCCCGGTTGGTTTCCCGCTGATGTCCCCCTCGTACCATTTCGACTTCCACTTCCACTTATAGTTACACAGTAGTTCCACTCACCACCCTGGTGTCGTAGCGTGCCTTGACCTCCTCCTTGCTGGCGAGGGTATCCTCAATCTCCTTCCCCAGCTGAGCGATTTTCTCTTGGCCCCTGCATGGGCAAGGGGCACAACCAAGATACACAAGAGACAACACAGAATACAAGAACACAAGAATGACAGGTGATACAACATGCCTGCCGCAGAACCGCCAAACACATGAAAAGTACGCTAGATACTGCTGTATCACCAGAAACCATGCATCCCGTACCATCAATAGCTGACATGACGTAAGATATCACACCCCCTGGACCGACTTTCAGAGGTGGAGTAATACTACAGCAGTACTCCACGACCAAGAGGATGTCCCGACCAAACGCCACGTCGCCGTAAAAGCTCTCGAAAAAACCGCCTTTATTGAAATCGTTGCTCTTTCTGCTGTAGAGCAATAGAAGGTCTGAAAATCAGTCCAGGGGGCATGTTATCTTGTGTTACCTACGATGCTCTATTGGAACCTTAATGGCAAGGAGCAAGACGACATACAACAAAGTCTCATGTGGAAGACATACCAATCAAACACCATGCCGCTGGCAGCAAGCAGGCGTTGCCAAGGAAAAAGCCCATACCCAGGTACAAAGCAAGTTCATAGTTTTTACGGGACCCGAGGTGCTTCAAGCAACCAACGCGGACATGGGACGCGTGTCGCCGAACCAAATGTGAAAAAAAACTACGTGTATACAGGTACACCTTCAATGCAACCTCACAGAAAACAACGGCAGTGAGGCTTTCAAACAAAAACGGACTCCAGCATGATGGTTGTCTGTTCAGCGAGGCATGTTGTCCATGTCGTCACATCACATCACATCAAATAACATCAAATCACGTAGTCTCACTTCTCGACCTCCGCATTTCTTTCCTTGATCGCCTCCTCGTGCTCAGCCACCGCCTCCTCGAAAACGTTCACGTGTGCCCACACCGTTTGCTCCTGCGAAAAATCAACATGAGCAAAATAATTTCTTTTCGCAAGTTTGCTTGTTTGCCTCTGTTCTCGACTATTTAATAGCGCTTTCATTTTGCCACTCTCATGACAAAAGATGACCTGGTGTACAATACATGCCTGTGGAGCAAAAACAGAAACAAGGTATGCATTAACGTATCTACATAGTCTCGTCTTGCCTCCTTCTGTGCGATCACGTGTACGAGTACATCACGATTTTTGCTTTTGTTGGTAAGCATGCTGTCGTTTGTTGAGCAACAAAAAGCTGAACAAAAGTAGAACATTACGCCGGTGTTCATGCTCCGTGAGTACCAAAATTTCGTGGTAACATACTTCTCATTAGTTTTTTGGATGCCAGAGACAGATCACGTCATATCTCCTGCAAACCCCAAGAGGAACGTGCGGGTAGAATACAATGCACACAGGGGGCATACTGGACGGGACCCCGTCAGCTTTGCATGCGCTTGGGAGCTCCCGAGGGAGTCGGTCCGAGCATGATGCCTCCATCGAGAGAAAATCCAAACACAACACATGTTCGCCTTTAGTCTCCTACATACGTACGTCTAGATGATCCTCTCAAGAAAAACCATGAACGCACCAACAAATACAAGGGGCTGATCTTCAGTCTCTTTAAAGGTGAAAATCGAACACGGGCAAGCCAGACAGAAAAAAACAAAGCAGAAAAACACAGGAAAAACAAACGCAGGAACCTAAGGTGGGACGCGGGCCTCAGGGTAGGAACTGTTCTGTGGCACCACGGATTGTAGCTGTGTGACCACGGATTGTAGCTCATTCCCGGCAGAACTGTCGTGAGGCCAGTTGCTATGGAATTTTTTCCCAGATGGGAATCCGGGGGACCAACAGATAATACTCCACCCCCCCCTAAAAGCAGGAGGTCTGCGTACTGGATAGCAAGCAGAGAGCACCAAAACGCGTTGTCAAGTCTTCCTCGCCTCACAGACCCCTGTTTGTTATCTAACCGATAAGGCTGTACACTCCACTATAGCTGTGAGCTTCTCGGAGCCAAGTTTTGGCAGCTAGAGTGCAGTGTGCGTGGAGTATGCCCTTGATATGAGTGCAAGTTCACATTTCCAATTTGGAATTTCAAGCAATTCCACCTGGGAATTCATGAGGAATTCCAACTAGGATGGTCCAGCAATTCCAAACTGGAATTCCTATTTTACACAGCATGATGAACGCACACTGCACCCCAGCTCCCCAAACTTGGCTCAAAGAGGCTCACAGCAATGCACTGCGCGGTCTCGAAGGTTTGGATGCCAACGGGTCTCTGTAAGGCGAGTACTGAGTGCCAAAGCGCGTTTGTGTGCTTTTCCATCGAAGTACGAACAACTCCCGCGGCCTCATCTTGGTTGGATGTAACAGGCGTAAAATCAGGATTCCAAATCGGAAAATTTTCCATAACAGTTGGCCTGAGCGCAAATTTATATATAAGCTGATGAAAAAACAAAAACGGCGTACCTGTAGGCGGTTGATTTTCTCCTTGAGCTCCCGGAGGTTTTCGTATTCCTTGAGTTCGAGCTTGAGCTGCCGCACAATCTCTTGGTATCTGTCGGCAAAAAACAAAACAATCCAAACGAATGAAAAAACGGAGGACTTTCAGACTAGGTGCATTTACACATGCATTCATCCAAATACCTGCTGGTATAGGTACTTCCCCTCCACCCATCCGAAAGGTTGAAGGCAAGCTTGCAAACGGGACAGTGGGTGTTTTACTCGGCGATACGACGAAAAACTCCACAGGGCCGTTTGTCCCTCCACGCGCATGCCTGTACAAGAAGGAGAGAGAGATCCATTCACGCAGTAGGCTGCACGACACAAACACACACACGAACACAACCAGAGAGAGACAGAAGAGAGAAGAGAAAGAGAGAGAGAGAGAGAGAGAGAGAGAGAGAGAGAGGGAGATACCACACGAACCAACCCACATGTACTTCAAGTTCCCGCGTCAAGCAAGCGGTCATCCGGACGTCCGATTCGACCATGGACATCGTTCATCACAACAAGCCTTCCACTCGACTCACTTGGGCAGCATCGACACGGCGTCGTGGTGACCAGCCTTCATGGTGCTGATCGATCGCCCCGTCTCCAAAGAGTCCTGGTCATTTTTTTGCACAACACAAACAGGTACAAAAATCAACGCTACTCCCGTAGGCAACGTCGCTGTTCAACGCTGTTCGACACGAAAACGTGGGTGTTCAACGCCCTTAAAAAAAAAAGGAGACGTTGCTGGTCAACGGTGTTGAATACGGCAACCTCGTCAGTGGATCGGATGGTTACTGCTAGTGTTAGACTTGGGCGTGTGGCCTACTGTACTCCTGTCCTTTGCTCTTCCTCCTGCACAGGAGAAATGCCACAAGCAAGTCTGCCCACCCCAGTTTTCGTGCTCTCATACCTCTCGTCACAACTCAAGGCCTCCTTATTGCGAACAAAAAAAAAAGAGTAGATCATACCGTACATTGCTACATATCTGTTTGGTACGCACATGCCGCTTAGGCTCTAAAACACACCAAGAGTTGAGGACTCGGCTATGCAACAGGTGCTCACGTGAGAACCCGTACAAAAAAAAAAAAGTACAAAACACACGTCAGCTGTTGAGCTACCCCAGGGAGGAAGCAACACATGAGCCTCGGGAAAAACAAGAGGTTCTTGGGCGGTGGCGCGTGGTCTATCCTATTGACAACCGGGTGCAACAGGAGCACATAGACAAGGCGAGCCTCCCACGGCGATGGAGCTTGCCTATCAGCTGCGCCGCCACGGGGGCGCATTCACAACCAGCGTTTGGGTTCACATTCACAACCAGCGTTTGGGTTCACATCTACATCTACATCTACATCTATTACAAACTCACGGCATGGATGCGCTCCAGATCCGTGGCCTTCATGAAGAACGCGTACTTGTCGCTCTCGCTGCCCTGCAGAAACTTCTTGGAGTTTTCCTGATCGAGCACCGCGCAGGGGTTGTCCACCTGGAACGGAAACACGCGACCACGGTGTCAGAATACCGTTTTCCGTCGGCTACTTGCGGCACACCAGCACCGCTCCTGTGCATAGCCCGTGGCAGCCCTACGGTTCTATCGCAATCGACGGCATATCAAGACATCGGTATCACAAGAGGGTACACGAAGAAATATCTCACTGTCTTAGCAGGGAGACTGCTGCGCAAGCTGTGGCACATTCGGCACGTCATACAAGATACATTGTGCCGTGGACACTCAGCACGTCATACAAGATACATTGTGCCGTGGACACTCAGCACGTCATACAAGATACATTGTGCCTTGGACACTCAGCACGTCATACAAGATACATTGTGCCATGGACACTCAGCACGTCATACAAGATACATTGTGCCGTGGACGCTCAGCACGTCATACAAGATACATTGTGCCATGGACACTCAGCACGTCATACAAGATACATTGTGCCGTGGACACGCCGAAGGCGAAAACGCGTCTGTTATCTGTCGAATCGTCGGGGTAGCTAGCAAACATCCGTAGAGGTGATTAGCAGTCTACTGTGTGACAGCTCATGGGGCCCACCTGAATGTTTAGTGTGTCCAGCAACCTGGTCAGCTCGCTCTTCTCCTTTGACTTGACCTGCCACGGGAAAGGTGTGGAGTGGAAAGGAGATCATCGTCAAATCAAACATGCATCAAACAACCGACAGAGCACAGTAGAACCAGGCCAAAGAAAGGCGAAGTGGTCCATCAATCAGCTTCAACTCCGTGTCGAGGTACAGCAGACCGCCTGTACCACAACAACCGTTGCCAATGACAATGCGTCGTCAATTCCATGCAGTGATCGCCAACAGCAGCAGCAACAACTTCCCCTCTTCTTCTACCGATTCCAACTTCATGCCACGACTTTGGGCGAAGAGCGGCAGAACGAGGCGAGGCGAGTCTCTTCCGTCAATGGTACAATGGTACAAAGCACACCGCAGGTGTTAAACTAGATCCGAGACTTGATTCAGGTCCGCCTGCCTTTGGTTGTCCTCGATTTTCACATACATAGCTTGTACACCAAGACCTCGCCCAAAATACCAAGAAGAGGTGGTACACAGAACCGCAAAAAGTACACGGGGTGGTACGAAGCCCGAACTGAACAAAGCATCAACAATGTGCGATATCGTCTGCAGCATGAGGTTATTGCTGGCAAGAATACGTCACGTCACGCACCAGCTGCAGCTCTGCGCGCTCGTTCGTGGTGCACTCGCCTAACGTGATCTAAAATGAGTTCTCCGAACCACGGAAACATCAAGGCCTCTTTTACAACAACATTAGCGTCGGTGAGGGAAACACAAACATGACTTGGCCTCGATACAACCCAAGATGCTTTGTACGAGAGACAAGAGATTGCCTTCTTTTCTCGGGGATAAGGTTACCGTCAACATCAACAACCTCTCACTTTGGGAGTTCACGGAAAGGCCATCACCCGATATTGCAGCACTATTTTCAAAGGGGAAAATTGGAACACCCTGGGGATACAAAGCTCGAATGGGTAGTCTTTCCGTGAAAAAAAATGTACACTATCAAAAGCGTCTATGAAGCAACTGAGCCTTGAATTTTTTACAAAAACCGACACGAAACCACCATACCCCTACGACAGTCAATACCAATGGCAAAAAAAAAAAAAAAACTGAACAAAATAGTGGGGAGCCTTCAGTAGTGCCGGTTGAATAATGCTGATGTTTTCGGCCGGCGGGCACACGGAATAACCAAGTCATTTCTGTACTCTGCATAGTGCCGCTATGCTGGTCTGGTTCATACCGGCACGATTGTACTGAGCCCCCCCAAAGTACCACCATCACCCCCAGCTACTGTATTAATAGTACGACAACACAACGATAACGATAAGAGGCCAAGAGAAGTGATTCCACAGCAGTACACACCGCGCCGTCGGCACCAACGAGGGCGAAGCCTCCTCCGCTGGGCTGTTTGATGGTCCTCCTGATGGTGATGGACTCCCCGTACTCCTCGAACATGAAGCCGTGCTCGGTGTTGAGGAGGGTCACCTCCAGGACGGCATCTCCCTTCCAACCGTGCCTGAATCAGGAGGACAAAGGATAACACAAGACTCAGTGCACCAGCACAGACAGGGCGGGCGGCAACGCCTCTTCTAGGGATCCCTATGTATCCAACCCTTTTAATGTGAAGACAGCAGCAACAGCAACAGTAGTGGTCACATATTCTGCTGACTCCTGTGAACCCCCAAAAGGTACATAACGCTCCCGCACATATGAAGCTGTATTGTATTGTATTGTATTGTTTTTACCGAAGGTGGGGTGGGTTCAGTAGTTCCTAGGGTAACGCTGCGAATGCTCGCTATATAGGTTTTACTGTAGGTTTTTAACCGAGCTCACGAATGTTCTGCTCAGGTTCTTAAATTTGATGACTTGTAGGCTCAATTCTGAACTCCTGGGTTCTTAAGTGCGGGCGCGATCTGTACAGCAAGGAAAGTCACGAACGACATCTATGTGGTGTATCAACACCCGATGACACCGTGCGAAAAAAAACTGAAGCTGACCTGATGAAGTCCGTCATCTTCTTGGCCCTGTGGGTGAGGTGCGCCTTTGCTCCGAGGCAGATCTGCAGTGCGGCGAGAATGGCCGACTTGCCCGAACCGTTACGTCCGTTGATGAAGTTCACTTGCCTGATAGCGACAAGATAAGATAACAATCAACTAATCATTAGGAAAGGATCGCGCAAGTTCAGAGTGATATGATGAAATCAAAACATCCGAACACCCCGAAAGAAGCACAGCAGGGTCGGTTACACTGCCGCCATCTACGATGCGGATACGCGGGCGCCGTACTGTACACGGACCAACCACCTGCAACAGCATCACCACTGGAGACGGTAGACAGCATCACAGACACAACATGATCCACAGGCCATGGTTTCGGTCAACAGTAAACGTCAAGCAACTACTCATGACATGCACTACTGGAGTGGCCTTGAAGTGTGCATAGTCTTAGCGTCGTGTTCTGCCCTCTACTCACTTGCAGAGGGGTACTGTGAGCTTCCTGTGGCACATGAAGTTGGAGACGTTGATCTTGAGCACGACACCGGCCTCGGACTTCTTCTTACTGCCCCTGCTCTTCTCGTCTTTCTCCTTCTTCTCTTTCTTGCCTGAACCAAGAAAACCGCAACAGCAACAGCAACAGAGACACGTCGTTGTTAGCACAGCAGGTGCAGTCTTATACAAGAATTGATCTCAGCCGATGACTCCAACTGCCACAACGTAGGTCTGTCATCTTTAAATTAAGAAAACATGTCGCTGTTTGCACAGCAGCGGCAGTTAACAAGAAATTGCCCTCAGTCAACGACTTCAACTGCTGCAGCATAGGTTCTTCATTAAAAAAAGACCTTGTGCCTCGTCGACAAGAACATACCTCTGTTGTCCTAGTATGTGATGGTGGATTTAACACGTACAAGTACCTTTTTTCGTCTTGGTCCGCGGCGCGTCGTTCTCCTCGTCGGCAGCATCCTTCTCTCCATCGTCCATGCGTCTGAACGAAACAGATCGAGGAGAACATGAGTTGGTCCCGACACATTGATCAGAAATGCCTCTCCGCCTGTGAATCTACTTTTTACTTCGAAGTACTGAATAAGGAGGATGCCCGTGATCTTGGTTGACCGCGTTCCTTGGGCCGTTCTTGTACCTTCTCTCGGGGCCCTTTCGTGCTTGTGCTAACGGAACCATCGAAACCTGATCGAAAGCTACGTCAGTACCAGTACCATTACCGGTCCAGCTTGATGCGAACGCCTCTCTGACAAGTAACCAAAAAAAGGTGCACACTTTGCAAAACCTCGAACAAAAAACAACTTACCCAACAAATGACTCAGAAAACAACACAACCTTCACAATGGAGCACCAAACAAACCGAATACAAACAGAAAAGGCATTTAGCCAGGCGACAGTCAGACGGTCGCAACCAAAAAATCGAAAACAAACAGAAATACGAAAGCCTGACGACAGACCGTTGCTAGCGACGAAGACGTTAACATCCGAGGACATGAGCAAAAACAATGTGTCATCAACGAAACACCAGACGTCAGCGCGCCCAGGCCAAAAACGGACCCAAACCTCGCCTGTCTTCCTCCTCCTGCTCCCTGCAGAGCTCGGCCATCTGCCTCGCCTTCTCGGCAAAATCCTCCGCCTTCTCCTTCTCCGGCAGATCCTCCTCCTCCTCCTCCTCCTCCTCTTCGTTGGCTTCCTTGTCATCGGGGATGAATCTACGCTTCCCCTTGCCCTTGCTGCCTGCTTCGGAACAAACAATTCGCGGTGTGAGTTATCACAAGGGGCCGGGTCCATGGAAATGTGCCCAAGCGACGACTGCTGTACAGTGCACAGCAGGGCTTGCGAGGTCAACATTGCACCCGTGAGTTCGCGACACAAGGGACCTACACTTCAGTATTGTACATGGTTCATGCGACTTTTGGTTTTTTATTTTGCTAGTCTTCACTTCAAATCAGTGCTCATTTTCGTCAATGCTTGCAAGAAAGAAACTTTGCGTCAACGACAGTATCGCAGGTCGTGAGAGCGAAAACACGGCGTCGCCATGTGTTCCCCTTGGGAACTGCAGGGAATAGTTTCTCCCAAGCACCATACAACGAGTTCTATGAATGCCTGTAGTTGGCCTACAGCAGTATGTAGTTCGTATCATCGGGGGTTGGCTGCAAGCTCGCGCCTCGTGCTCTGCGGTTTCTCTGGTCCGCACGAGGGTCACCTTTAACCTACGTAACTATGACCTACAATATATACTGTACCTGGTACAGAACCTGCTCCTGCTCCGAAATGATTGTGAAGGCACAACAACCAACAGACCCCATGCCATGACTCTAGACTTGAAGCATGTAACTACGATCGGGGCATTGTCTTATAGCGCACACACCTGATGCTTGTTCTTCGTTGTCCACCTCCCGGTCCTCGTCCATAGCAGCCCCCGCCGGGTAGCCGTTCATGGATTCATTGGGAGAGGCTGTCGTAGATCCGTCCGGAGAACTGCTCGTGGACGCTCTTGATCCATTGGAAAGGCGGTGGGCTTTCGGGGATCGCTCCATTTCGGGCTGAAGAGAGATGGACACATGGATTGCGACGATGACGAGGGCTTGCCGGTCGGGTTGGATGACTTTGTCATGTGTGGAGGGTGGACGGTAGCTAGTGGACTGAGGAATCAGACGTTGTTAAGATTCCAAATGTAAAAAAACATTTACGAATGGGGACAAAGTGATGAGCGTTTCAAGTTCAAGCGACCGCGATCGAAACCGAAACACAGCAGCGCAGGCAATAGACGCTACTGTGCGACGAGGGACACAGCCACACAGACGCCGTCCAAAGCAAGCCGAGTCAAATCACGAATTCGTTCTATACATGCACTGCTCAGTGCTGCATGCCTCTGCGTTGCTAAAAACCAGGTCCGTAGACTACATACGATGGACCCCATGGGACCGGGCGACTGCTGTACACTTCTGCAACCGCAACCGCAAAAAAATGGAGTAGTTTCAACCCGTGGACGTATATGTATGAGTTTGGAGATCTTGCACCATGTGCCAACCCGACCCGCACATCAACCGTGACCATGTCTACTGCTGTATGTAGGTTGTACGTAGATACTGTATCTCTCTGCCGCGCGTGGTGGGTAAAAGGGTGCTATGCATAAAGGTACACATATACTGTAGGTGTCATCAGTGCTGTGCATGCTGTCGGTTTAGGTGTTACAGCAGGGTTGATCCGTCCACAGAGCCACACATCGAGCTCAAGTATCCTGCTACTTGTGGTATGCACAAAGTTGCATGCTTGTGAGTGGGGCTACAGCAGTCCTGCTGTGCCAAGCTCTCGATGTATCATCAGAGAATGAACGGTTTCCCGCACTAGCTGGTATCGACAAGACGCAAGAAGTAAGCCAAATCACACGCATGGCCGACGACGGAAATCGAAGTGGGCAAATACAGCCGGCACACGCAGAGCGTCTCGCTTGCGGTTGTGTCGGGCAAACTCAAACTGACACCAACACACTATAGGACAGCACAGGGACCGCAGCGAAAAAACGCAGATGGTGGAAAACAAAATACAATATATCATCGCCGACGGCAGCCGAGACAAGAGAAAAGAGAGGCGTGCAAGAGGACTGGTACTGGTTGAAGGGGATAACAACGTTCGTCTATTTACCCCGGTCCATCCAGCATCTACACAAGCTCGGATTTGCTGCAGGGCATCCAAGAAACCGCGCCAGATCATGCAATCGAGAGCTATGTATAACGCCGATTCAAAAACTGATGTATCGGGGGCGGGAGAAAAGGAGAGCTCCAGCAGTCCAGCGGGGGGTTGTACCTGCCTATTTAGATTGCACCCATAGAAGTCTACGGCAGCTGGGAAGTTGTGACTGGCATGAATGCATTATTCATCCCGTGCTTGTACGATGATAGGGAGACAGCAGTTGGGTTGTTGGGAAAGGGCTGTGCATCCATCGCCGCAGCAGCAGAAATTCAAAAAAGCTGGCGTTAGGTTTATCGGCCATCGAAGAAAAGAGAGAAAATTGCTTGGACAAAACCATGAGTTGACGTTGAACACATGAGTACATCTGCCCCCAACACAGGCAGAACCTGTAACCACATCAGCCTCCCGAGGCTGGATGGTTTGTGTCGGCATGTTGGTCGTGGTCGACTGCTGCGGTCAGTCAAAAATCAAATTCGACATGATTTTGAAAACAGACAGAGGAGGAGGGAGCCACCTGCGACACATGGGGTTGTACTCGCGCACATCAAACTCGCATAAAAAACTTACCTCGTCCTTTTTGTCAGATGATTCACTAGCACGTCGGCGTGTTGGCGCCATGGTAGGGTGCGGGATACAAGCTCGTGAGGTGGTCTTGCTGCTGTCACCCGATCGACGCCAACAACACACAGAACCCACCAGGGCCGAAAGGGGGTACGCAAGAAAAAAAAAAGGAATAGGGGGTTAAGGATTGCAGATTTCCTCTGATTCTTTGATCTCACACTTGGTCGTCGTAAACGCCTCCTGAACCGCTGGCATCGGCTTTTCAAAAATCACACATCCATTTGGGCAGCTGTTCCCGCTCTTCTGACCATCCTACGCATCCTACGCCCTGCGCTCGCGACCCGGTCCATCTCACGTCCGCGTAAGCGCAAGCTGGCTTAAGCGCAAGCTGGCTTGGAGGGATTTCTCCTTGGAGGTTCCCAGGTGCTTGATTATGCAGCCCAAACCCACAGCAGTCCAACTCGGGTACAGCAGCTGTGGGGCCATGAATTCAACGGGGGGTATGTAGAGGAGGGATGTGCCGTTCGCGAGCGGGACCATCAGGAGATACCCAACGACCGTAGCGCCCCTTGCCGGCTTTAATGGAACATTGTTGCATTTGAGGGTTGCAGCCGAAGTTTGGAGCGGCTGCCAAGCCGCTGTCGCTTCGAAAGGCGCTCGTCAACGCATGCATGTACATAGAGGCGCGCAATGTCACGCCGGTTGATGAAATCGTGAAATCAAAGTCAAAGCTTCACGACCGACGCCTGGGTTCGGAATAGGTACGTGCCCACGGCACGAGACACGTAGGCAAGGGGTGAGGGCTCTTGGCGCGTGACCCTCGCACGAGCAATCTGCTGGGGCGTATGCCATGCCAGTCAGCCTTTGCCTGGACTGTTGCTGTCGTTCAAAAGAAGCACCGACCCTCTAATATAGGTTAAACTTCCAAACGGATCCTTCTCTTGCCAAGCACAATCTCCTACGCCGTTGTGGGAGATCCTCTGCATACAGGCAGTTCTCCGTGGCGCGGAAACCAAGCAGTGGTGTTGGGTTTAGTATGTATGCGTATGTAGAACCAGCGAACCGCGTCCGGTGTCTACGAACCCCAACCGGCATTTCTGGGTAATGTTTTTGTGTGGCGCACCTCCGCGCAAACTCCACCGTGAGGACGCTCGATCGAGGATTCTTGCGAATTTTTCAAGGGGCACAAATTTTGCAATTTCCCACGGCCATTATCACAGCGCACACCGCAATGCATGCCGAAATGCGCTTCAAAGCCGTCCCCGACCCACTGCAGGATGTTTGCAAAAGTATATGGCGCAGAAAGCCAGATTTTAACGTCAACAGCAAGCGCGCATTCTGACTATATTTCTCGGGACTGAAATCGGTGCAGTGTTCATGTAACTCGATCATTCGGACCGACTTGCACAACAGCAGTACACGGCAGTAGCCTGCTGTTGTCGACGTCCCCAACTACCAAGTATGTACGTACCGATGTTGCAGCAACGACGATGTTTCGTGCGACCGCAAAGGACGAGCTCACTTATACCGTACTCTTTTCTCGCCTTCGCTTTTCCGCTCACTGTTGTGCAACCCGCAGCTCGCTCCTTCCCCAGCTGCTGACGGGGCCCGCTGGAGGAGCCGCCGAAGGCGAAAAAATCAGGACCATTTCACTTCCTTTCCCTCAGTAAAGGTGTGTGAATTGACTACATGGTGGATTTTTCAATCATGTCACCCATCAACATTCAGATACATAACATCCGTCCTAGGGCGCTCACAGAAAAGTGAAAACGACACCTCACCCCTACAGAGGTCGAAATAAAATAAATATCAGTGGTGCCGGAATTGAGAGCGAAGTTCAAAAAATATATGGTACAAGGTCTGCCTTCGGGACGTGGGCGTCTACCCTCCCTCAGGTGACGCAAGACCACATGCGCATTGCCCGAAGAGGGACTGTGTGTCTTTCAACGCTTGTATTTCCGCACAAAACATCGCGCACGTTGTTATTCTACATTGGAGCCAGCTCGAGCGGACATTATTTTGGCAGCGCAAGACTTCCATGATGTCTTTGATTGATGATGGCAGACTTCCGACGAGAACCGAATTTGAAGCCGAACAACACCACAAATGGGACATGTTCACCACTGCGGCTGGCGGCTGGATGCATGCTCTCAGACTTGTCTACACTTGGCCCGCTGCGAAGTGTAGTAAACGTAGATGCTGTTGGACAATGCGTTGACACAAAGAGTCACAGCCATGAATAATCGAATGAATGGATGAAGCAAATATTTCAAACCGTCGTATTTGATGGGTTTGATAGGTTTCGGGTTTCGGGATTAGTTCGCCAGGCTTTGTCAGCGCGGAAGGCGTCCCCGGGGTTTTGAGACAGTTTTCGCAACTTTGGCCGTCAACCACACGCGCCACGGAGGCCTACCGAGCTCCGGGCACGGGCGTTAATGTACTGACGAGCCTCCTGCGTGCCCCTGAGAAGGAACGCGAGAAAAGACTCGCTGCCGCGAGAGAAAGAAACGCCGAAGCATGAAAAGTGACCAAATCTTATATGTACATATATTTTTGAACATTTTTTTAACTTGATTTTGCTATACCCCCCCCCCCCTGGTCCGGTGAGAACCCGGCGTGCTCCGTCCCGGCTTTGTAGGGATGCGAGGTCAATGGTCAAACGACTACGGCATGCACGACTATGAGTACACCCCCCCCCCCCCCTCAGCGCCTCTGGAGGGGGGTTAGGTGTCGAGAACATTTTTTCTTGTGCGCCCTTGATCCGTCTTCTGTTTTCTTGTGGGTGCCTTCAATAAGCTGTCCAAGTAACGCTTTTTTAATTTACACATGCAACGCTCGGAGACCTTCTAAGGAGAACACGATACACCACACAGGAGCAAGAGGACGGTGTCGCTGTTATTTAAACGTTTTCCAGGCCCCATTTGGTACTAGCGCCTGACGCTTATCGCATCAGTGCTTCAGTTGGTAACCTCGCAGAGTTCTGACGTCTGGGCGTGAGTTCGAATCGCGACACGGCAGTAGTCACACGAACTGGGGCTTGGTCTCATGTTGTTCCCATGCATAAAGGTCGATAGCGATTGGTTCTTGAGCACACGTAGTGCGACTTCGTGGCCAACGATGGAAAGAAATGGCCGAATCCTTGTCGGAATAAATGAGCTGGGACAAGCATCGCAGAAGGAACTCGGATCGCAAATGAAAACGTCCTTGTGGCCCTTGCTGGTGCGCCCGAGAAAATACGGAGGAGCGTAGAAGTTGAAATCGACGTCCAGCACAGGTGGGATGGGGTACACAGAATTGTATCCGTAAAGTGCCGTGGTAGAACAAAACAAATAAGAAGACATAAAGAAGGTATTCCAACAGCTGGCATTTTTTCGCCGCACCACCAACTGCATCAATACATTCAACGCTGTCTGACCCCGTGGGACTCGAAGGTGATGTGTTTTGCTGCGGCCACGATCCGTGAGCTTTAGTGGCCGCAGCGTTTTGGTCTCTCAGAAAGACAGAGAGACGCAGATATGGAAGCCCTCTACTCTGGCTGAGCAGAGAGTCCGGGAGTGTGGTGGCTATGTCCTGCCACCGGAGGTTGGCTATTTCCTTTGGTGCAATATGGCGAGGAATGCCAAGCGTGACCGAGCGAACTCAGTCAAGCTAGGGTGGCGAGGAGAGTGGGCGAGCCTTCGTGGACCCTTTTCCCATTCTCCTAAAGATTCATCAACTCTTCGCAGCCGTTGGGAATCGTAAGAGTCATAGACCCTCGAAGAACGGTAATCTATTATCACATATCCTCTCAGATCCTACTCTTTATGTACGTGTATCTGTGCTCCCCGAATCTCCATATCCTGACCTCCACATAGCCCCCCTTTTTCTTCGCCGAAAGCTCAGCTTGTTGAAGTTGGGTTTTGGCGCGCATGCATGTTTGCATGTTAATTGTAGTGGAGCAGGTATGGACGTATCATTGGATCCAGATACAGCTTTTCGAAAATTAAATCTCTCCCTCACTATCCGAAGACAGCTGACAGTGCCGTGTGGAAAACACACGTGTTGAAAGCAACACCGTACGGATTTAATCTCTCCAAGGCTCGTACAAGCTACCAGTTATTGATGTCAATCAATGATGATATGTCAAAGTTTATTCTTGTTAAGCATCAAGAATTTGTACTTTGTGCGGGTTCTGGTTCGCGTAACCATACCGCTGGGTGTAAGCAATCGTTTTGCTTCTTGAGTACGATAGGCATACGGTGTTCGACAGTCTAAAGACTGTTTCCGTGACTCACGTAGTGTCATCGAGTTGCGACCCTCAATTTCACTAGAGACCGGTTAACTTGACATTTCCTCGCCAGCATTTGACCCAATCAAATGCTGGATAGCAACCTTATTGTTTGGATGCTATTCCTTTCACCGTTTAGACACTTTGGAAATGTATCTTTTGTTTGCCTTCGGACTTCGTTTACTTTTCCGCTGAGCACTTTCCTTGTTCACGCATTTTGTTGGCTTAGTACATGCCTTGGTTGGCTTTGCTTTGTGCCTTGCGCGTTTGTTTGTACTCGGATCCCTACCTTCGTCACGTTTGCGCTTCGCTATTTTCTGCGGCGCTTCAGACGATTTCTTGGCGGGCGCGATGTCCAGATCATGTTTTGATCGGTATGCGGAAATCATTTCGTGGCATTGCGGCACTTCGTCGGCACGATACATCAGATCTGATTCAGGACCGTATCCTTTCAGTCTTAGACGATATCGATAGTTGTGCGGACCTCTTCGGCCTTGACCACTTCGATGCCCTACCACTTTCAGTACGACGTATCTTTCAATTTTCGGTTGATTTTCGTCGTTTGCTGTCAGGGCAGGTAAGGGAATTTGTTTCCCAAGGAAATATTCAGCCAGTTTTTCAAACTGTGGTGCTGGTGGTTTTTCCTTTTCATGGTACTGTTTTAGATGGGCAAGGTGCACGGATATTTCTCGTGTTTCATTTACTCGCTGCACCCTATACACAACCGGTGACAGTTGTGAACAGATGACATACGGTCCTCGCCACGGTAAGAACAGCTTCGGATTTGGCC